TGCATCTCATGTTCAAGCCTCTGTTGTTTGTGCCAAACAGCTTGGCATACAGCTGAGAATCCGAAGCGGCGGGCACGATTATGAGGGCCTTTCTTACTGGTCTGATCAGACCTTTATTGTCCTTGACATGTTTAACCTCAGGTCTGTGACTGTAGACATTGAGGACAGCTCGGTTTGGGTTCAGGCTGGAGCCACACTTGGAGAATTGTACTATAGGATTTCGGAGAAGAGCAAAGTTCATGGCTTTCCTGCTGGTGTTTGTCCCACAGTTGGTATTGGAGGGCACATTAGTGGTGGTGGCTATGGAAACATGTTGAGGAAGTTTGGCCTTGCTGTTGACAATGTCCTTGATGCTCAGATTGTTGATGCTAAGGGAAGACTTCTTGATAGAAAAGCAATGGGAGAAGACCTGTTTTGGGCTATTAAAGGAGGGGGTGGAGGAAGCTTTGGTGTCATTGTTGCATACAAATTGAAGCTGGTTTCTGTCCCAGAAACTGTTACAGTTTTCCAGGCTGCGAGAACGTTGGAAGAGAATGCAACTGACTTTGTTTTGAGGTGGCAAGAGGTGGCACCAACCACAGATGACGGTCTGTTTATGAGGATGCTACTGCAGCCAGGGAGCAACACTGTTAAAGCCACAATCATCGCAGAGTTTCTAGGTAATGCTGACCAACTTGTGTCATTGTTGGGGAAACAGTTTCCTGAGTTGGGTTTGAAGAAGGAGGACTGTAAGGAGATGAGCTGGATTGAGTCTGTGCTTTGGTGGGATAACTATGATAATGGGACCTCCCCTGATGTGTTGCTTGATAGAAATCCTGATCATGCAAATTTCCTGAAAAGAAAGTCTGATTATGTTCAAACCCCAATTTCCAAAAGTAGGTTGGAGTTACTGTGGAAGAAGATGATTGAAATAGGCAAAATAGGGTTGGTTTTCAATCCATATGGTGGGATGATGAGTCGGATTCCGGCCTCTGCCACGCCTTTTCCACACCGTGCCGGTAACTTGTTCAAAGTTCAGTACTCAGTGAGCTGGGGGGAAGCAGGGGCTGAAGCAGAGAAGAAATATACCACAGACACCAGGAGGCTTTTCAGGTTCATGACCCCATTTGTGTCCAAGAACCCAAGGAGTGCTTTCTTGAATTACAGGGACCTTGACATTGGTGTCAATAAATTTGGTAA